TCTGGCCTGTATCTTCATCCTGCAACACCTGGAGGCTGGGGTCTTCTCGCAACAGCAGTGCAAGCTTCTCGTGCATATCTTTCTCTTCCCGCAAGCTATTTGGTTCGATGGCCGCGAAAAATACAGGGGGCGGCACTTTGATAGGCCGCAGTTGTAGCCTTTGCAGTGGTTCGGGTGGTGTGGCTTTGTTTCCAGCATAGGAGATGAGGGTGTCTCCGGTACGAGCAAACTTCGAACCTGCAATGACACCAATTTCGCCAGCTCGGAGTGACTGAACAGGCACCGATTCCGAAGCATACATCCGCAGTAAAGTTGTCGCCCTCTCCGAATTCTGAAGATTGGTGTTGAAAAGGAGGGCATTTCGTTCTATCACTCCCGAATAGACGCGGATGTAGACAAGCATACCTTTCCGTGGGTCATTGACCACTTTGAATGCTAACGCACAACCCTGCAAAGCATTGCCGATCGCCGCGGGTACCAACTCAGGACCTTTCTTCTTGGACTTTGACGCTGGTTTCTCAAGTGACAAATCCCCTCTGATCAGCTGCGAAAGCCCTCCAGAGATCGACCCAAGACCAATCTCGGGATCTGGGCGCTCTTCCGGAGATGGCATAAGATTGTTGACAGCGTCCAAGAGAGGCTGTACTCCAATATTACGAAAGCTGGCACCAGCAAAGACTGGGATAACCGTGCAATGCGGTGTGAGGAGACACCTTCGCAGGCTCTCCCAAATCTGAGCAGGACTCACTTTGAGGTGGTCCTCTTCGGCGTCGAAAAAGGCTTCGACAAGCTGATCGTCATGCTCACTGAGTAGTTCAACCAGTGCCGTCCTGGCCCTTCGCAATTCCTGTGCAAACTCCGGATGCTCTTGCTCCAACCGCAGAAAGGGATAACGTTCTATCGCTTTGCCATCTCCGCCAGAGTCGTACAACAATCCTTCCAAGTTGATAACATCTCCCACGCCAGTAAAACGGCCCTTTCCACCCTCGAACCACGGGATTTGACAAAGCGCGGGCCAACCGCCCAAGCGAGAGCCGATTTCACGAACGGTTCTTCCAAAAGCCGCGCCGTCACGATCTAGCTTGTTGATGTACGCTATTCGTGGGATGTTCCATTCGCCAGCTTGGGCCCATACTTGTTCAGTCTGGGCCTCAACCCCAGCGACACCATCCAGAATACAAACAGCACCATCTAAGATGCGCAACGATCGGCGGACTTCGAAAGTGAAGTCGGCATGCCCCGGCGTGTCGATTAGATTAATGGTGTGGGGGAAACGTGCACGAGGCTGAACTTCAATGTCATCGGTCGAGGTCGGAGGTGGTGCAGCATGCGCTGGTGGCCACTCGAAGGTGATTGCCGCAGATTGAATGGTGATCCCACGAGCCCGCTCAGCAGGAAGAAAGTCGGTGACGGTAGAACCCTCATCGACATCACCTATCCTTCGAGTATGGCCGCTGTAATAGAGCATGCGCTCCGTTGTGGTCGTTTTGCCCGCATCGATATGGGCAATGATGCCAATATTTCTTGTCCTCGAAGGTCTTGGGTTCTGTGGTGTTGATGCTGCAGGTGCTGCGCGCGGACATGATGACCGAATATTTCTTGACTGAGTCCGAATAAATGAAAAAGCAGAGCGAGACCGATAAAAATCAATTAGAGAGGAGTGTCTAATGAATTGCGCATGGACTTTCATCCCCTCTCAGAAGTGGAAATGGACCTAGCCAACCACATCAACATGAGATTATACACCAGGAATTTCAAGGTCACAAACGCTGAAAAGGATACGAAAGCAGGACCCGAATGAGTGACTTGAGCTGGATGCTTCAAGTCCTCAAAACTGACGAGGCTCGAGAAAATGTAGAAATTCTGTCCCTCATAAAGCAGCAGCATCCACTAGCCATATTAGGCTGGTGGGCAGGCGCAGTTTTCCCGCTGCAACTCTTTGCTCCGACTTGTAGACAATGGACAGGGACCACAAGTGATAGACCAACTATACCACCGATCAAGCAGCTTCACCTCGGTCCTGCTCTACAAACTCTACAGAACACTGCGCGACTTGTTCCACACCACCTCTGAACACACCTTTTGGAAAGCTCAGTCTTGGTTCTGTACAACTGCCGAATGCCCGCTTGATTGTCTGCACTACAACGTGAGCAGTTCTCTGCTGCCACACTCGCAACTATGGACTACTCAGCTGCTGCTAGTGAGGCCGACGCTCTTCACGGCGCCTCACCCTGGGGTTCTTCTTCTCCCCGTGCCTCTAGAGGGTTTGCCCAACCCCCACCAGATTCTCCAGAGTCACCACAACCAATCCGAGGGCATTCCTACAATCAATCCCAAGACAGCATTCCTGATAGCCCTTACCTACCTCCTCCGAATCAATCTAATGTGTCTGCTCCTAGAGATGGCGGGGCCTCCGGAGATCGGGTCGCTGCTCCACAGCATCAAAATCCAGAAGAGGCCGCAGCGCATGCACAGGCTTCCGCAATACATCCCCAAGATATCCAAGGAGCAGCGGTTGGGCAACAATATGCTGGTCAGCCGCAGCAACGACCCGGCGCAGCAAGATATCATAGTGCAAGGCAGAACAGGCCGGTACCGCAATATAAACTACAAGCCAAAGTGACTGCGCTGGAGCGAACGGGACGCAAAGATCCCGTTATCAGATTCGATGTTTATGTACGTTGCGGTTGTCTATGGAGAGGGTGCAAGCTAACAGTTCTGAAAGACTAACCTCCCCAAATTTCGTACAACTCAATTCCGAGATGTCCGTCGGACACACTCGGAATTCGTCAAACTTGCGGACCATCTTATATCTTCGAACCCAGAGGCCATCGTCCCTGCCGTGCCTCCCGCTCAGACTTCAGCCGGGGTAGGCACTGACGAAGATGAAGCCCGGGTCAAGGCGGCAATTCAAAGATGGTTGAATGCTGTATGTGGCAACGATGTCCTCATGCGTGATGAGGAGATGGTATTTTTTGTGGAGAGTGATTTTGGGTACTCCCCTGTGGTGAGAATGAAACAACCAGCGACTGGTGTAAGGCGGAAAGTCTTAAAACAGTTCGCACCACCGCCTGATGATACGCCTGAGCTGCACGATGCGAGGCCTATTGTCAAGGCATTCTACCTCAGTTCGCTGGACACAAGCCAAAGACTTGAGAAGGTGGTTAAGGCCAGACGCGGTGAGTTGTGGGTGGAACGCTTTCAGGTTCTTCGTTTGCTGACATTTTCACAGCACTTGGCCTCGCAGAATCGTCCCTTGGAGAAAAACTTGGGCAAATGAGTGTTCAAGAGATACACCCAGGTCTGGCGACAGCATACCGCAAACTCGGGCGCATTATTCAAACATGCGGGGATTACCACGCCGCGCAAGGAACTGCTGAAGCCACGACATTAGGGGATGCACTTGCGTATCACTCCTCTGACGCTTTCATCGTCAAGGAAACTTTGACGAATCGACATATCCTGCTCCGGGAGCTCCTCCAGACAGAGGCATCCCGCCGGAGTAAGGAAAACGCGGTCCAACGCCTCAAAAGCTCTTCCAGCGTTCGCAGAGATAAAGTTGATGAAGCGATCTCTGCGCTCGACGAAGCAATCTCTCAAGAAAACTACCTTCGCTCCAAAACCCAACGCGTGACCGCAAATTTACTGCTCGAGAAAAGACGCTGGTTCAGTCGCACGTCCGCTGAATTCATGCTCTCCCTTCGTGAGTACGTGTTGCGTCAAATCGAAGCAGAGCGCCGCACGCTTGCAACTCTCGAAAGTGTTAGGCCGGATATCCGGGCAATTGATGCGTCTGGTGGTCTGAGCAGATTGGGGCGGGAGAACCATCCCACCGTAAGGCGGATTAGCATGGCCAGCAGTCAGGGTGCGAAAGGCGATGCATGGTCTGGTGTTCCGCGGAGCAGGGATGCTCTTTCTAGAAGCATGTCTGGAAGCTTTGGCCCTGGCGCGCTGGGTGTTCCTCTTCCAGAAGAGAGTGAAAATGGGACGAATGGTGCAGGAGTGGCTCAAGGGGGGCGACCGAGAAGTGCGACCGGAGCCAGTCTGGAGAGGGTCAAGGAAGACGAAGATGAAGATCGTGTCGATGCTAGGAACGCCGCCAGTCGGTTGGCGCAAAGCACCTTCTGATCTTTTGGTGCTGTGTAGTGAGGTCTACATGTCTCCAGTGCGATTGAACATCGTTCGAACCGTTGTCCCTGGCCTGGAAACTCAAAGAGGAAAATACCGAGTACCTCAGACGTCAATGCGCGCAAAAGAAAGATTGCTTTTCATGAAGAATTCAGCGAAGGGGAGACAACTGAGAAACTTGACATCAATGACAAGTGGGAAGGGGGGCAAGGTTCTTCTATCTATCCAAGCTCATTGCTACTGTATAGGATTTCCTATTCAGCATGGTGTAGCGTGTGAATATTGTCCCATTCAGCACAGGACTGGTCCCCCTTTAGCAAGTATCAGGACTGAGAGGGAAGAAACACCACTGTCCGGTTCATTATCCGGCCCCGATTCATCGTAGCTCAACTGTTTTTCCATCCTCATATCTAGGCCCCTGATCGATCCCAACATCTCCCTGCCTGCTTCGCCCTCGTCCAGCAAGCTCGTCTAGTCGCTCCACAGCTTTCAAGTCTGACGCGACATTCCACTTAGACAGGATTGGGCCTCTTTCCTGCTTTTCCTCTTTGTTTGGGATATTTGTTGTTTTCTGATGAACACTCAGGACATATTAAAAATTAGGGGCAAAGCCGGATAAGGCCACTTTTCGCGTTGTATTGCACATGCTGTTGGTCCAGGTGTCTCGTTATTTTCTCACATACACTGTCGTTCGGGGACATATTATGTCAGACGTATCCAGGTCTTATTGGTCTGTAAGGTCGTTGAGCCTTCGGCGACTACGAAGCCTCGCGTAAGTTGCTTAGAGTTGATAATGATCTCTCTATGGATCGTTTTTCGGTCGCGCAGATAATGTCGTGTCGCAGTTCTCAGCTTTGTAGGGAATGACGATCTTAAAAACTCGGCCCCAGGCTGCTCAACAGATCCTTCAGCCTCTCCCCTTCCATGCTGCTTGACACAAGATTCTCGGCGAGCTGCGCGTCTGCCTTTATATTTCCACGCTCGACACCATTACCGTTGACGGATCCATGGGTTGGTATAGCGGTGTCCAAGGTTGTGTCAGATGAGCTTTTCATACTCATCCGCCCAGTGTTGTAGGCGAGATGAGCCGGGATGCTGCCCACAGGACCGACAGCTGCTGGGGCGGCGAAACTGAAGCTGCGCGGTTGTATGGCAGGGCTGTCGACAGGTGTGCCGTTTGGGCTGGTGCTAGTTCCTCGACTCCCACTTCCAATCGCACCCCAGGGATTGTGACTTGGAAAAGTGGTGGCGCTCGGGGATCTCATTGGTACAATGTGGCTATGACCCTGAATATAGGGGTTGATTCCAGTAGGAAATTGCAGCTTCTTAATTGTAGCGTGCAAGATGTCCCGCTCTGTAAGTAGTGCGTGGCGCTCCTGGCTCATGTTTTCGATTTGCGCATTCAGCTGAGATTTTTCTGCTTGGAGAGCCTCGATTGTGTCCATCAAAGCGTGCTTCTCTCGCTGCGTTTGCTGGACGAGACCGCGGAGGAACTCATTATCCGCTTGGAGGTGAGTAGCGAGACCAAGGTCCATGCTCATGCGAGGAGAAGGGGTGCTAGGCCGGCTGTGGTTTATGAGCGGAGTGACAGGTCTGGAGACTGCATTGCTGCCATTGCCGGTACTCTCGCATTCGGCATTGTGAGTATTCACGCCAGCAAGAGACGACACCGAGGCGGATGACCGATTTGAAATAGCAAGTTTGTTTAATGCGCGTTCCAGAGATCTGCCTGCTTTGGCCGGTTCCCCTGGAATAACCTGGCGAGGTGCAGCCGTGTAATGGCCCGTATCATGATGAGCGTATACTAATTCAATGTCAGTACTGGAAAACCACATTGGAAGGCCCCTGAACGCCTTTCAGCCTGGCGCAATCAACTCACAGCAATCGTCTTCAGAGTATTTGCAACTCCCTTTTTCCCACCACCAGAAACAAGTAAGATGTTTCACAGAGCGACGGTTGTGACTATCCTGGCTGTCTCCTGGTGAGGGCAAGGATGAACTAGCCCGTGAGCTAGGTCGGGTGCGGATGTGCATTGAGCGTTGACTTGTGCCTTCACCTTCACCTTCAGTCTCTGAATCTTGCTGAATCCGCACAACTATAGGGACAGATGACGAACGGGACTCTCCTCGTGGGCGAACACCTTGCTCGGTGGGCCGTGACCGACGAGAAGGCGTTTGCTGCATGGTTGCACTTCCTGGAGAATTAGGAGCTGACTTTGATGGGTCTGGATAAGCAGGGAACGACTGCTGCAAAGGACTGTGCACGAGGGGGCTGCTGCTGTGACGGGGCACTGAAGGGGAAGGCACGCGAGCCCAGCGATTAGGGTTGGGATGGAGTCGTGAACGAGAGGCCATTCCTGAGAGACGAAACGACTTGGGCTCAGTGGGCGCACCGAGCGGCACTTTTGAGGATGAAGCTAGTGACGATTCTGATGACATGGTTGCGTGAGAAGTGAGCAGTGATGATGAGGATGTGAAGGTAGAGAGGAAGAAAGAGTTGTGGTGAGAGGGAAAGTTGGCAAGATGGAGCAGTCGAGAATGGGTGCAAGATGAGGAGGACAGAAAGAAACATTCATCTTGGAGCTGGTGAGGCAGAATTCACTGGTCTGATTGATCATCTTTGTTGTTGTGGTTGTTGTCAGATACGTTTGCTCCCTTATGCCTCCCTTTTCACTTCACTTCTGGGACAATTCAGTCGCAGTCAAAAGAGGCTGCTTGCAGGTTCATGCTTACTGTTTCGCCTTCTTCCCTCCCCTGCTGTTGCCTTCTCCATTGTTCGATCTTGTCGCGAAACCCCTCAGGAAACTCATCATATCGGGTAGCTCCGTCATCTGCAAGAACAAGATACTGTGCTTTGTCCTTTAGGAAGATGTGTGCCCCCAAGGCTGGGAGAGCAGGTTCGGCCCCGACCACTGTTCCCAGAGTCACCTCAGTGCGATCTGCCTCGAAAAAGTACCGCATGAAGACCGCAGAGCCACAGGACTTGCAGTGGCCGCGCTCCGCAATGTCACTCGCATACCAGATATCTGGCTGCTGTTTCCATTTGACTGCCGACGCAGGAATAGCAACGAATCCTAGATACGGTCCACCTGAAACGCGTTGACAAGTGACGCAGTGACAGGCTGTCAGGCCAAGGGGCTGAGCTTGAGTCTCATATTGGACGCGCCCGCAGGCACAGCTCCCTTTGATCATGCTGGAAGGGCAACCAAACCGGTGCCAGAAGAATTAAGATGCCTAAATATGTTACAAGAGGACGTGAAGGAGTTTACAGTGTTCGTCACTGAGTCGCTGCGGATCTGAATATAAAAGCCAATTGCAGAAAGGAGATGAGAATGCTCCAAATATTTGTCTCCGCAGATTTGGAGTGGTTCCGCTCTCAAGTGCTGCAAGAACACCGCAGCATCCATTCTACATGCTGGCGCGAACAATGCGAACAAGATTGCAGATCCACCCGTGAGCCTTTGCTACACACAAGGGCATTTCGGTATTGAGACTCCGCGCCTGGAGCATGGGCCTTGAGCTGAACCTGCGGCACAAAAAATGACTGCGGAAAGCAGCACCCTGTCAATAGTCTAAGGACTGGGAGAACCCATTACGGCTGAACGGTAAGAATTGACTAAATGGTCTGCCATTGCCCATAGTTGCTACGAAAGCTCATACGAATATTCTCACTGAACAAACAACATTGGAGACTGATACCAAGACTCAATAACGCAGCCATTGACTGCAAAACGGCCGTCTAAGACAAAAGGTCGCTTCAGGATGTGGCAAAACCAACAACATCAACGCAACAAATATCATGACCATGGCATAACCGATTGGTCTATAGGCCTGTATATACCCTAAGAGACTCTTTTAAACTGACACAGCCAAAAGCCCATGTCTTGTCAAAGCGGCGGTCGTTTCGTGGTTCCGCAAACTCTGCCTGCGAACTATCGGTCAGTGCTTGATTGAGGTCGTCGCAGGTGGTCGGGGCATGTACAGATCAATGCCAAAAACACCATCCTTAGTGTCGCGTTTCTCTATTTCCGGAACGATGACCTCGGCCGCTGTCTTCATGTCCCTGCGGGTTCGGTCTCTGCTGCGGGGTCGACTGATTGTCGTAAGACACCCCTCTGGAATTGTGTTCGTCCGCCTCTTGGCTTCGATTGATCAGGCGTCGAACCACGAAAAGCAGCGGAAGGCACATTGTCTCGGGCGTGTGGTGGTGGCGGTGGATTCCGAGGCTCGACTGCGCTTGGATTGTATGTAAATTTGAGATTCTGTCTTGCGTATGTACAGTGTAGATTTGTCCTCAGGCTGTGGGATTGCGATTGCTGCTCGGTGAGGTGGGAGCGATCGTCCAGTGCCATTGCTCTTATATATAGCGGTCTCAATTAACCATCCCATGACCCTCCCTGCGGATGACGAGGCAGACAAGGGCGTCGGAGGAACGCCAGTGTGCGCAGTGGCATATCTTTGATACGCTATCGACAACAGTTGGGCTGTTGTCGCTGGGTCAGTGACCCTGGTGCTGCTGAGATGCAAGACGCGATGAGATTGCGCATTGCCGTCTTGGGAAGTCGATTCGACGCCAGGTAACCCGGAAGCCTGACTACAGTGGCCAATGGCGTCCTTGATGCGGAGGTCTCAAGTCATATCTCCGTACCTCGTACAATCGAAGCGATAGTCCCAATTGGGTTGAATTTGCGAAGCTACCCTTGTGGAATAAACCGCCATTGGAGATACAACAGTCTGATGTCGAACGAGGCTGAGTCGGATGAGGTGTTGCCGCACAATCCCTCGCCTCCAAAGCAATCCTGTCAGGGGGATTCCCCCTCACCCTCTTCCTAGGAGGTAACATCAACCTATCACCACGACAGCAGAGCGATGAAACTATCGGGTCTGTCCAATGCAGATAACCATTCGATGTCATTCTCGATCCACTATCGATTCGTTGGAAACGGGACAGCAAGAACATTGACCGAGATGGGTTCATACATGTATTCCCTTGAAGGGCGGCTTTGAGGGGGATAACAATCACGGCTGACCTTGTGAGTGTCCAGAACAAACCACCTCAACCACCTCTTACTCCACTTCTAGTGGTTGAATGAGGTGGACCGATCTATCCTGCAACTTTTGCTGCATGGCGTTTGATCAGACCAAGGCGCTCGGCTTCGCTCTCCACACACTCGGGAATTTCTTCCATAATTCCATGCATAGCAGGTTTCCAACCCAGCAGTTTCTTTCCTCGAATGGATACCCCCCTTGAGTTGGTCCCCATCAGCAGCCTGGCATTGGGGAGAAATGTTTCAGCTTCTGCCGGACTCAGGCTTTCCACGGTTGCTTCTGGCAGTAGACCATTTTTATGAGCAACATTTGCAATTTCCTGGATCAAATCTCCCCATACAAAAGGACCGTTCTCAGCCAAATAATAACCCTGGTCATTCCAGGTCGCCGGCGAGCCGCCATTGAGAGCAGCCTCGCCGAGGAGAAGGTAGAGGTTCGACAAGTCCTGAACGTGGATTTCGTGCCAGATATTTTCCCCCTTACCGACTTTGAAGGCCTTGTGGCGCTTTAGAAAGCTTGAAGTCGCCATGTATATTTGAACCGAACGTGTATTGTCTGGGCCTCTACCTCGACCCCATATCGTTGGAGGACATACGATCGCCGTCTTTACCTTTTCCGATGAAGCAGCCAAAACAATCTTATCGACCTATATAGATTGGAAAACGTTATATCAGCAAAGGACTAACAGGAGAGTAGATGGGAGGGGGACATGTTCGCTTCACCTAGGGGCAGCTTGCTTTGTCGTGCGACCTCCGGCACCTCCAAAGAGAGATAAAAAAGACCACAGGTGATTGATGCGTCAGACACACAACACCTCATTTTAGGTCATATGTGATATTAAAAGGGTGATAGCATGGTGTACTTACATTCCTGTGAGCAGCGTGGTCGGGTTGAGATATCAATTCGCCCACGTTGTCCCAGTCGTCATACACTTTATCCAATCTGTTACCAAAGTCGGCAAGGTCAATTGTTTCCCAGCCGAGAATTAGTGTTCCGGATGTATGAATCCAGTAACCAGTGCCTTCGCGGTTTCTCCGTGCGAGCCCTTTAGCAATAGCGCGCGCCGAAGCCTCATGGTCGCAGTTGGCAAAGTGATAGACGATGTCGGAGTTGGCAGCCTCCTCCTCGATCAGGTCTACAGTGTCCAAGTCTCCGTAGACCAACCTCACTTTCGGATAGACAGCAGCAACTTTGGCGCCTTTGTCACTGTTCCGAACCAGGCATGTGAGTTCCCATTCTGGGTGTTTTTGTGAGATGAGGTAGAGAGCATCGCCCCCTATATAGCCAGTAGTTCCAGTTGCAAAGATCTTAGCCATGCCGTCGTTACAGATTGAACAAGAAAGATCTTAACCAAGGGTTTTATATGATGATGCTGGCTAGGCTGCTGTCTGGAGTTCCACTGTCGTCAGGCTGTCAGGGTGCAATGACGTTTATGTTCAAGAGTTATTGAAACTGCGCTATGGGTATAAATTATTCACCGTAATCTCACGCTTTTCCATAACCGGATTTCTTTCGTACTGTCCCTCTCTTCACGCATCAAAGGCCAACACAGTCCCATCACCTTCCCCTTCCTCCGACGCGACGATCCCTTTCCCTTGAAACAACCCTCAACTTGACGACTTTGCAGCTGTACGCGAAGCCTAAGCTGTTCAGTACTGCTCGTCATATCCAAATCGACCGCCCTTTGTTGAACTGGATGTCGCAGCCTCCTCCATGAAAACTACGAGGACAGACCTCTTGAAGACAGCCTTGTCGGGGCCGCAGTTTTTGACGACTGGACGTGATGCCCCTGCCGCCTGGCGCTAAGAGGAAGCGACCGGAGCGAACATATTCAGATGATCAGCCACATTCTCGTCCCTCACCTCATCGACCGGGAAATCTCAGTCTCGCCCAGTCAACGGCGTATCACGCGTCAGGAAATGATCGTGACTATAGCCAACAACGTGGAAGAGGTGGTCGGCGATCAAGCAGAGGAGGTCGAGGCGGCAACCCTGCGTCTAGCCCAGTCCATCATCAAGCAGACAAACCTCCTCCCGCGACCAAGGCGCCATTAGCCGAACGTGAGCTCAGCACGTCAAACGGCACAATGTTCACAGCTCAGCAAGATCCTCACGACAGCGGTGCCTTATCTCCCCCCCCGCCTGAACCTCAGCCTTACAATTATACCTACTTGACAAACGCAGTTTGTGAGTCATGGCAGACTGGGGGAAGGGAAGATGTCCTGCGGCAGGGTCTGCAAAGTGTGCAGGAAGAAGATGGGACACAACTCATCGCTTTGATGCAGGAGCTTGTCCAGACCGTTGTTTTCGGCAGGCTTAGTCCATCAGAAGCAGGTGACCTCGTCAAACAAATGCTTAACAGCGAGATTGCAGATGAAGATAGTCAGCAGACACCACATCCCACAGCCTTGCAAGCCGCCCTCCTGGATTCTATATCTGTCGTCTTCGAGGGCAACCCTATGATGCCGCTCGATCGCCTTTCTGCATTTGTCCTTTCAACTGAAATATCTCACGACTTACTACGACATGAGCTCGACGCAACTTTGCTGGAGAAATTGGATCTGATCAGGAATACATTCAATCGCATGGGCATCAGAAAGCAGACCAATCTTCTCTACAGACAAGCGAATTTCAATCTTATGAGGGAAGAGTCGGAAGGGTTCGCAAAGTTGATGACTGAGTTGTTCACTACCAGCAGCAGCGAAGCCCCGACTGCAGAAACCGTCGAGGATACGGTAGAAAAAGTCAAGGCTATGATCGGTGCATTTGATCTAGACGTGGGTCGAAGTTTGGATGTCGTTCTGGACGTCTTCAGTGCCGTTCTAGTGAAGCAATGTCGGTTCTTCGTCAAATTCCTTCGCGCTAGTCCATGGTGGCCTCGATCAACAACCTCATCCAAGAAAATTCCAACTCTGACAGGCCTTCCAAAGTGGGCACTTCCTGGCTCTCCTGATTGGCACCTCACAGAAGAGCAAAAACAGATTGTGGCCGAGGAAACCCGGACTCGTGATGAGGCTTTTTGGGCTGTGGCTCGAGAGCGAGGCCTTGAAGCTTTCTATCTACTCGGAAGATCACAAGTGCCGCAGGAAGTTTTGGAAAGGGCTTCATCATCATCAGGCGACGATCTACTCGCCCAGTGGATTCGCGAAACTGGCACATTGCCGCCATCGGGTAATCGAGACGCTGCACAGCTTCTGGGATTTAAACTCCGTTTCTACTCATCGTCGCCAGCGAGGGATGAAACAGATGTCCTTCCAGATAATCTCATCTACCTCTCCGCTCTCCTCATCAAGATTGGGTTTGTCTCGCTCAAAGACTTGTACCCCCATATCTGGAGAACGGACGATGTAATGGAAGAGCTTAAAGAGCAAAAGACTCGAGAAAAGCAAGAGCGAGAACGGGCTGCCAGGCCTGGAGCAGGTGCCAGGAATGCCCTCACGGCGGCTGGGGCATTGGTAGATGATACTTTACCTGCACCACCTCGTCTGAAAGAGTCAACCACACGAGCCAACACCCCATCCAAAGAACCAGAGGCAGATAAGGTGACCTCGAAAGAGAACGAGCCTGCGGACCAGAAAGTTCTTTTACTTAAGAGCCTGCTGGCCATTGGGGCACTACCCGAAGCTCTCTTTATCCTTGGTCGCTTCCCTTGGTTGATGGCACTAATTCCCGACCTTCCAGAATATGTATACCGGATACTGCATCACTCCTTGAGCAAAGTGTACGGGATGGTACAACCTCTACAAGATCGTCCAAGTCTCCGGAACCAGAAACCCAGCTATGAGACCGACGTCCCGGGTGTCCCGAAAGGACAGGTCAAAGTTGTGGAAACAGCCGAGAGAAAGGTACTCCGATGGGCTCAGCTGGACAAAAATGATAGCCTCGACGGCACTGATTATCGGTTTTATTGGGATGAGTGGAACGACAATATTCCAGTCTGTCAAACTGTCGAAGATGTCTTTACACTTTGCGACACTTTGCTACCCCTCGTTGGCGTCAAGATCGGACAAGATTCAGGCCTTCTCCTTAAGATTGCCCGGATTGGAAAGCACAATCTACAGGTTGACAAAAGCGAGTCTACCCGATCTCGATGGTTGGATCTAGTCAAGCGTACTCTCCTACCATCGCTGAGCTTGACCAAATCAAATGCGGGTGTGGTCAACGAGGTCTTTGAGCTAGTCAGCACTTTCCCGGTGAATGTCCGCTATCTGATGTACCTCGAATGGTCGTCTGGAAGAACGTCTCGCAACCCCGACGTCAAATCAGCGTTTGATCAAGCCAGGGCTGAGACCAAGGATATATTGAAACGAATATCCAACACCAATGTACGCCCGATGGCGAGAGCCTTGGCTAAGATTGCCTTTGCCAACCCACATATCGTGATTACCACTGCACTAACTCAGATTGAAGTATACGACAGCATTGCTGAAGTGTTCGTCGAAGGTGCACGGTATTTCACGGATCTAGGTTACGATGTTCTCACTTGGGCTATTGTAAGCTCAATGGCAAGGACTGGAAGAAATCGTACTCAGGAGGGCGGCATCTTCGCGAGTCGTTGGCTTTCAGCGCTTGCAGTGTTTGCGGGGAAGATTTACAAACGATACGGCATGATGAAACCTGGTCCAATATTACAGTACGTTGCCGAACAACTTGAGCATGGTAATACAATGGACCTCAAGATGCTGGAACAGATTGTACTTTCCATGGCTGGAATTGCAACTGACACGAGTTACAACGATGCACAATTACAAGCGATGGGGGGCGGACCTCTCTTGCAGTCTCAGACTATCCTTCAACTGCTTGATCGACGGCATGACTCGAAGAAGACCTCGGAGAGACTGATGAAATCACTTCAAGACACAGGTTTGGCTGCTAAATTTTTGATTTCCATGGCACAGCAACGACAAGCATGTGTCTTTGAGGAAGAACAAGTGCCTCTTAAAGCAATCGGCAACACCTACGACGAGGTCCATCGAGTAATGGTGCAGTATCTTGACCTTCTGAAAACAAACCTCTCCCCAGAAGAATTTCGAGCCACGATTCCTGATGTGGTGAGCCTGCTCATTGACTACGAAATTCGCCCCGAGATTGCATTCTGGATCAGCCGGCCCTTGATTTCCAGGCAAATTCAGGAGTACGACAAAGAGAATGCAAAAGACCAGCGAACCGAGGAAGTCAAAGAGGTGAATGGTGATGTTGAAATGTCAGACCAGATAAATGCCAGCTCAGAGGAGGATGGCGAGGCTGTTGAAACAGAAAATCTGATGAATGACTCACCAGCTGCAAGCGACACAATGGGCCCTGCGCTTGAACTCGATGCTAGCAAGACTCCTGCACAGTCAGATGCAACGACAGATGATTGTTGGCATCCCGTGATGAAAGAGCTTATGACCGCCATTCAACCTCACCTCCCCGAAGACGTTGTGGACATTGTGGGAACTGGGTTCTACGCGACGTTCTGGCAATTGTCGTTGTACGATATCACCATCCCTGGCAAATCGTATGAAGACGAGCTCTCCAGACAGCATAAGAAAATCGCAGCGATTTCGGCAGACCGCACCGATGTCAGTGTTTCTGGAACAAAGAAGAAGGAGCTCGCGAAGAGAGAAATACAGGATCTCATCGACAAGCTACTCGCCGAAAATAAAGAGCATCTAAAAGCTTTTGCAGAGAGCAAAGCTCGGCTACAGCGCGAGAAGGAGCAGTGGTTCCTCGGAAAAGCCAGGATGGACAAGGCATTGAACACCACGCTCATCGAGCATTGCTTCCTCCCCCGGATGCTGTCTTCTCCGCTGGATGCCTACTTCTGCTTCAAATTTGTCAAGTTTCTGCACGGGGCTGGAACGCCGAATTTCAGAACGCTCGGTTTTTACGATCTTTTCTTCAAGCCTGCCCGACTTATCTCGCTGATATTCATGTGCACATCAAAAGAAGCAGATAATCTGGGAAAATTCCTCAATGAGGTGCTGAAAGATCTTGCTCGTTGGCATGCTTCTAAAACAATATATGAACGGGAAGGCTGGGGTCTTAAGAAAAATCTCCCTGGGTTTGCTATGAAAGTTGAAGCAGGAAAAGTCGTTTCCCTGCTGGATTTTGAGAGTTTCCAAAGAGTGCTCTACAAATGGCATGGGAATCTCCACACGGCTCTTCAGAAATGTCTGACATCCCCGGAATACATGCACGTCAGGAACGCGATTTCTGTCCTACGCGTGATATCAGGGGTCTATCCCGCGGTCAATTGGCACGGCACAGGATTGCAGAAGGCAGTCGATAGGCTCCGCGATTCTGACAAAGAAGATCTGAAAGTTTCATCTCAA